ACAATCTCACAAGCCAAGTGTTTGTTGTAAAAAAGGTAGAGAAAAGTTGATAATTTTACTACTCATTTTTTTAAGTGGTGAAAAATTGAAATTGTTGTTAATTTTTTGAGTAAGTGTTGAGAACATTAATGGTCGTAAAAATAAAATAAAAAAGAAGGTGCAGATTAAAGGTTAGTATAATTACTTGAAGACAAGAAAAAGAAACAGACAATTAAAAGGGCGGTATATTTATACTCATATATTAATATAAAAAAAGAAAAGAAAAGCTGAGCACTAATGGGTTGGTTCCAAGAGTCAATTTTTAGTATTGCCCATTGGTCATAAATGTCTTGTCATAGAGAGAGAGTTAGCTGTTTTGAGCTCAACTTGTCCTTTGGTGGAAGAAGGGGAGTGAGTGGTCACAGAGGTGATTTTTGTCATTTTGGAATAAGCAATTTTGCAGCAGATAGTCAGGACTGCAGTAAGCTTTTTCTATTTCATCAGCCGAAATTAAATATACTACTAACAAATACAAAAGATATTTCTTTTACGTACGTGTTTATCATTCAACTATACTATTGATACTATAATTAAATTATTTAAGTTAATATAAACATTAAATGTAATTAAATATTTATCGCATGTAGGACATCTTACAGAAGAGGATAAAATTGTATCTGTGTAACATATTAGTTACGAGTTTAAGTCATAGAAGCATTCACTAAGATATATATTAGGGTATAACCAATCTAGATTACACTCTTGTAGTGCGACCCTTTTTCGCATACTAATAACTTTCCCCCAAGAGGGTATACATGTGCATGTCATCTCAACTAAAAGGTACTAGTACAAGAGCACGAGCTGTGCACATGATGATGCTTACTAACTTTTGCCAACTTCGGGTCACAATTCTAGTGAGCAGTCTTTTGGATTTTGCGAGAAACTGACGTGAGCATCCATCAAAGTCATTCCAATGTGTCAGCCGATTCGATTCTGGAGGATTTTTTGTAAAGGTTTTGGGGCAAGTTTAGGTTTCACAGCTGGTTCTTCCACCTTAAAGTTGGGGCGTTAGCTGGCTGTGTTGATATTGGAACATTTTAGGACTAATAAATATACATCATTCGTCTAAAGAATTTTATGTTAACCGTGTAGTTTGCTCTTTAAGTTCTTAGGATTTTATATATATATATATATATATATATATATATATATATATATATATATATATATATATATATATATATATGTNCGTAGTGAACTTATATCGGATATACTCGGTCAATCGGTAGATTTGATATCTTTGAACCGTCGAGCTTTGTTGTATACCTAGACAACATAAGTCACACAATCAATCCTTAACCATCTATGGTTCTCACGGTTGTATGCGCTATTTCAGGATTTAACGTACCAAGTGAATATATTTCGATCAATATAGTTTACAACATATTGCTTCATTTAATTTTGTAAATTATTAAGTGACTTGATATATTATTGTTGCTTAAGTTAGACTCATCTCTTTATAGTTTATAGTTTATACCCCTTAAACCCCCTCCCATAATTACTCTACGGAGTAAAGTGCCGTTCCTACTTCCTAGGTCTTAAAGCTTAATTTTTTTTGTTTTCTTGTACATTTTTCACTATCCTTAGCTTATGCAATTTGAAGGGAAACTTTGGAGTAATGACAAAATTATTTATGTTTGATTAATAGGTCACGGACTCGAGCCGTGATGCTCATATTATAGTAGGCTGACCTTATATAAATGCGAGATACTTTATACATTAAACTGCTTTAATTTTGCTTACACAATTTGGAAATTACTCTGCATTAAACCTCGAAAAGGTCGATTTGGTTTTAGAGTAAAACATGGGATGGGGATTGGGGACATTCTAACATTGATTATTCGCCGGAAAAGGTGCTGCAATAGGGGGCAAGTGTCGTCACATTGTTATTTACTGTTGTCCCTACTTAGGGATTTGCAGAGATACCTATTCCTTTGTCCATTATGCTTTGAATTATAATACTAATCTTTAAAATATTCAGGTAATGTGGATATATATCTTGGATATGGATAACTCTCTTCCACATTCTAACTCATCCATTTTAGGGGCATTTCTGTCCATCGTTATCCCTGACGTTCTGACACTATTTTATTTATTTTATTCTGTAGTCCAAATAATTTTTATTAACTACGGGGTAAATCCTTTCTCTAGTTCTAAGCATGCCTTTTATGTGAATTTTATGAATTGAGAGGAAAATGGCTTGAACATAGTGAAAGCTAAACTTAATTTAAATGTCTAGAGTAATTTAAGTTGTAATAAGGTGTGCCCGGCTGGTTTTAAAAAGTTCCTCAACAACTAAAATCTTCACTTTATACTTTCACAAAAAAACAATTCATATATATATATATATATATTATATATATATATATAGTATATATATATATTATATATATATATATATATATATATATTATATATATATAATTTGTCAAAATACATAATGAATTATACTATGTTCTTTCAAAATCTACTTACCGTAAGCTTGTTTTCCAAAATATAGACCCAAGCCAAGACCTCCAGCCAGTGGCGGAGGCAGGATCTCCGCGAAGGGGTTGAAAAAAATCTTTTGTAGCTAGTGAGAATTTAACCTGTGACCTTATGGAGGTTTTGAACCCCCTTGACTACTAAACTACACTTTTGGGTTGTGTTAAGGAGGTTCAAAACTTAATATATAGAGATAAAAATCAGATTTTGCCTTATATACACAGTGTTGTGTAATTTTTCGGCGAAGGGGGTTCGAGTGAACCCCTTGCGCCCCCTAAATCCGCCCCTGTCCCTTAGCGTCTTAATTAGCTAGAGTTAACAATAACCACTAGTTGTAGCAGTAGCATCTACATCTCTATATAAACTTTGACTTGATTGCTTTCTTTAAAATTTATGTATAAGTACGTTATAAATAATCTGACTGTGTATATAATTATTACTACATTGTATTACACAGTCGATGTAACATGTTTTTTAAACACAGGATTGTTAAAGAATGGAAACTTTGAAATGCCGCTGGCGAAAGGAGACCTCAATGGCACGGTGGTCCTAAAGCACAATGCCATACCGGAGTGGTCGATCTCCGGCTTCGTTGAGTACATAAAGGCGGGCCAAAAACAAGGTGACATGCTACTGGTGGTGCCGGAGGGCTACGCCGCGGTTCGTCTAGGAAACGAGGCGTCCATCAAGCAAGTATTGAATGTTACAAAGGGAATGTACTATTCCTTAACATTCAGTGCTGCTAGAACTTGTGCTCAGGAAGAACGTATCAATGTATCCGTTACACCCGATTTCGGAGTACTGCCTATCCAAACATTGTATAGTAGCAGTGGTTGGGACTCTTATGCTTGGGCATTTCAAGCTGAATTTAGCCAAGTTGAGGTTTTACTGCACAATCCAGGTGTTGAGGAAGATCCTGCTTGTGGTCCTCTCATCGACTCAATCGCCATTCGCTCTTTATACCCTCCTAGGGCCACTAATAGTAAGTATTTGGCTTCATTTCCTTTATCTAGCACTTACTTCGATTCATTTTACATATTGCATTCAAAGTTAAAAAGAAAAAAAAGAAACTTTTAATTTATCACAACTCACATATAGCTATAAGAGCATGTCCCGTAAAATGAGAAGTTTAAGTTAATAAGTTATCGAATATAAAAATGTATTATTATTTTCGAAACAGATTAAAAATAAATGAGTGTTATATAAAATGGAACGAACATGGAAGTTCTTTACCTAGTTAAATTTTAGTTAACTTGTGTATTCTACGAAAATTGGAAACGAATCATAGATGTCAGGTTATGTATAAAAATAAAATTTTCACCGACAATAATCAATATATAAAAATGAATCTCGAATTTGATATAAGTTTAAATGATCTAGTACATGATTCTATTTGGTGAATATTACATTGATGATTTCTATATACTAGTATCTAGTTTTGGATACCTAAAGGAGAAGTCACATGCTTAAATAAAAAGGTGATGTTGCATGATTGTGATGTTGTCTGTTGGACCACTCTTTCTCATCTACTATCCAATCTACTGCTTTTCTGGATGTAGGGTTGGCGTTCTCTGTCACTTTTTTGAGTATTAATATGTGAATGTTTCCCCTTATTTTTTTGTTCATTTTAGTACTAAGTCAACAGATCTCGTATAAGTGATTTTTTGACCTTTTTTTGTGGTCCAAAATAAGTGATTTTTTCAAATTTCAAGAATGAATTAGTTATTTTTTTCCTACATTGTCCTTAGAGTAAATAGTGTTGGAGTATGTGTTAGGAGTGTTTATGTGAAGAGATAGTAGATGTTAACATGGTCAATTTCATTGTTAATTAATATTAAAATGTGGATTTCTTAATCTGTGTGAAAACATCTAAAAAAATTCACTTATTTTGGACCGGAGGGAGTAGTGGTTAGTGGATCAATTTTTGCCACTAGATCAGTATCCTTGATATTTTCTAGACCCTTTTTATGGGATTATACTGGGTGTGTTGTTGATGGGCGAGATTTTTCTTAATTTTTATGTAGGAAAGTTTCGGTTAAGCGATTCTAAGAGTATGCCCTCTAATTTTAACAAAAATTAATGGGAGAAAAAATAGTAACTTTGAAGTACATGCATTGCTGGCACCAGTTGCTAAAAAAAGACCTAATTTTAGTCATTGGTCCCTTAGTTACCTCTGTGGGTGCACAAATAGATGCTTTCCTCTAACTCATTCCAAGAAATAATGATAGGTATTTAAATCGCAAAACAAACTCTTTATGATTGTCAACATCGAAATCCAAGTTGTAAAGTTTATGTAAATATATTCTCATACCTAATTCATCACTTCCAACATGCATATTCAAGTCCATTTTAGGTAAGAATTAATTGATTCTATCCAAAGGCCAAACTTTGTTGTGTTCGGTATTTTATATAATGGTTAGTTATAGTTGTTTACTAACTTCTCATTTATATGTATTTTTACTGTTAATTGGTAAAGTTGCTGTCATCTGACCAAGAGGTCATGGGTCCGAGCCGTGGAAACAGCAGGATAAGGCTGCATACAATAGACCCTTGTGGTCCGGCCCTTCTCCTCGACCCTGCGCATAGCGGGAGCCTAGTGTATCGAGCTGCTCTCTTTTTATGCATGCACTTTCGCTCTGTCATCCCAGAAAATGACTATGTTATATTATGAACTATATATATGCAGAGAACTTGTTGAAAAATGGAGATTTTGAAGAGGGTCCATACATATTACCAAACACAAGCTGGGGTGTCCTTGTACCACCAAACATTGAAGATGACCATTCCCCTATACCAGCATGGATGGTTGAGTCACTAAAGGCAGTCAAATACTTAGACTCTGATCATTTCTCAGTGCCACAAGGCAAGAGAGCCATTGAGCTAGTTGCTGGAAAAGAAAGTGCAATTGCCCAAGTTGCAAGAACAACTATTGGCAAAATGTATCAACTCAGTTTCAAAGTTGGAGATGCCAGCAACTCTTGTGAAGGTTCCATGATTGTTGAGGCCTTTGCTGGAAGGGACACTCTTAAAGTCCCTTATGCGTCTAAGGGGAAAGGTGGTTATAAGCGCGCTGTTCTCCGTTTCAAGGCCGCTGCTACTCGCACTAGGATCATGTTCCTTAGCACATATTACCATACGAGGAGCGATGATTTTGTTTCCCTCTGTGGTCCTGTTGTTGATGATGTGAAGCTCTTGAGTGTTAGGAACCCTCGTCGATTCCTCTGAGTCATGTATTTTGGTGAAAAATGATGAATTTTCGAGTTATAGTACTGAGAAAATTTGGTTGTAATGAAGCAAGAAGACTGTGGGATTTCTGTTTCTCTTAGCTTGTTTACTAGCAGTATTTTCATATGAGTATGTATTATACTAATGTCTAATGAAAGGCAAAGAAGCATATATATTTTGATTGGTGTTGAGTGGTTTATGTATTGAAGCACAATAAATCATTAATGGATTTGAAGTTGCTATTGATTTCCTCAGTCTTCCAATATTGATCCTCTTAGGCAAAAACTATACATGATTATAAACCTGCTATTACTGCATTTTGTGTTGGACTTTGGAAGTTGTCAAAGTAGTAATTTAATTTACTCACTGATTTGATCTGTCTCAATCAAATCTAAATGAAATTCGAACCTTTTTCTTATGTTAACCATAATAATTAGGAGTATATATTATTTACACTATTATATAAAGTAGGGGTGTACATGAATCGGGTTGGTTCGGTTTTTATCAAAACCAAACCAAACCTACTATATCGGTTTGGATTGGTTCGGTTTTGTCGTGTTTTTCGGGTTTTCGGGTTTTTTGTTACTTACATATTATTTCAATCTTTCTTTGTTAAATGTTTGATACGTATACATCTATTTAGTAAAAATATAAAAAGTTGACAAACATATTATCAATTAAAATATTCTTATGCGAGAATTCCATTAGTTAACACATACTCCCTCTGTTCCAGTTTATGTGAACCTATTTTCTTTTTGGTCCGTTCCAAAAAGAATGAACCCTTTCTAAATTTGGTAACAATTTAGCTTAAACTTACAACTCTACCCTTAATGAGAAGCTTTTATAACCACACAAATACTTTAGGCCCCATTTGGACTTGTTTAGGACCACAAATTCCAAAAGTCTTCATTTTTTTTCTTAAACTCTGTGCCCAGTCAAACAGGTTCACATAAATTAAAACAGAGGGAGTAATAATTATTTTTTTAGTTGTCTGACAATAATTTTTCGTTGATATACACTTTCAGGTTATCCGAATGTAGTAATTAAACATAAAAATCAATACAATACCTAAATATTACTAACCGCTTCACATTCGAAAAAGATATAAGAACTTAATAGATCTTAACATATGATATGAATATGTAAGAATAAATAGATAAACATATTTCAGTAATACTTGATAAGAAACTGATCATACAACCCATTATTTAGGGTCAATAAATATGGAGCACTTCATATTCTATTAAAATTTATATCCCGCAAGAGAATCCCAAATATTTCTAGACATGTTTTAAAGAAAATTTTATATAAAATCTTAAATAATATATATAAAAATTATATATTTATATGTTGGTTCGGTTTTTTATTCAATACCAAATCAAATCAAACCAAACCGAGTCGGATTTTTTAATCGGGTTGGTTTGACTTTTCGGTTTGGTGCGATTTTTCGGTTCGGTTTGTACACCCCTAATATAAAGCATAGAGCTCCAACTCAAATTTTGATCAACTTTTCCATCTTTTAAACTGTACTATATGATTGATAGAATTGTAATTAATCATTAAAAACCTCAATATTTTCTTGTACTTATTATTTGACCTTTTTATTTAATAAATAATTATTTACCACAAGAAGATTATCATCTTTGTTAAAAAGTTACAGTTAATTCAAAAAACTTCATTATTTTCATGTTTTCGTTATTTAACCTTTTCAACAATAAAAAAAGGTATTATTTGCATGTGTAGTCATAACATTAGGAATATTATTAGATCTTATTTTCAAGTTTTTTAATCTATTATTTTAATTTTTCAAGTTTTCAACTTTGTCTATATTTTAGAACTTTAAATTAAACTACTCAAGTTTTCATATAAGGATCGTCAATAAGGTTATTTATCACAAGAACCAAAGTATTGTATTGATACAAATGACTAACTTGGATGACACAATTGGCTAACTTATAGTACGCCAATTTTATACGATGGGGCTAAGCAAAAGCTTTAGTGTCCTTGAGATGATCATACTGACCTTGTTAGTTTTTTCGCTGGTTTCTCTATGATAAAGACTAAATGGAGTAAAAAAGATAGGAGAATTTGGTTGCACTGATTTGAAGAAAAAGTTAATAAAGAAATCTTTGAATCCATTATAGGAGCTGAAGTAGTCCAAGAACTTAGGCAACCTAGTGGTGTTAAAAGTTAAAATGATTAAGCCAAAAGTTTCTAATCAACAAGAGAAAAAAGAATCTAGTGTCCAAAGGTTCGTAATGAGCCAGCAGACAAGGAACCTAGCGAATCTCTAAAGTTTCTGGTGAAACCAAGTAGAGAAAACAGAAATAGATGGAATTGTCATCACTAACAATCAATTGCCATAAAAATTACTAGTCCAATGAGACGTATGTTGAGAGCATGATTAAAGCTTGGGCACTCTTTAAGGGGTTTTCCACAACTAAAGCAGTAGCTTATCCCGTTTAGAGTTAACGTAAAATGTCACGACCCAAAATCCCAATTACGGAGATATGATGGCGCTTAACAACCACTTGCTAGACAAGCCAACATTAGCTAAAGAATTAACCGATTTTAATAATTTAAAGTCAGAATTTAAGGATTAACGACTGAAATACTCTTAAATACACAAAATAAATTCATAAGTAACGTTGTCTAAACTAATCCCAAAATCCCGGAGTCACAGGTACACGAGCAACTAGAATTCTATAATTATAGTATGAAATGAAACACAACTGTTTGAAACAAGATAACAGTAAAACAAGATATAAGGATACTTCAGGGGCTGCGAACGCCGTGCAGCTCTACCTCAAGTATCCCAGATAGATTTGATCCAAGCAACCTTCTCTATAAGCTGCTAGGACCAACACCGAGGTCTGCACAAAAAGTGCAAAAGTGTAATATGAGTATAACCAACCCATGTACTCCGTAAATGTAGAGCCTAATCTCGACGAAGTAGTGACGAATAATAAATAGAAGACAACAGAAATATAGAGAAAACATATAACTCATAGGAACGCGACCTGGAGGTCTACTAACAGAGAGCCCCAAAATAACATCATCTTATAACCTCATATCACAGTACATAAATAAAATACCACAACATTGACAAGTTACAGCACATCATATTCCGTCCGACGTGCAACCCGATCCCAATATCATGTCAATATCTGTTGCTACGTGTAACCAACTCCCTTTATCAGTTCATTTCTATACTGTTGCGGCGTGTAACCTGTTCCCATGATCAATTCACTATCATAGATGACTCAACAAAACCAATTCTATAATCCAACACAAAAGGGTATTAAAGCGTATAAAACACCAAGAAACTACTAGTACAAACATAGAACAACCAACATTTCATATGAAAAACGATGAATTTTCGAGTTATAGTACTGAGTAAATTTGGTTGTAATGAAGCAAGAAGAATGTGGGAGTTCTGTCTCTCTTAGCTTGTTTACTAGCAGTATTTTCTTATGAGTCTGTATTATGCTAATGTCTAATGAAAGGCAAAGAAGTATATATATATATATATATATATATATATATATATATATATATATATATAT